GTAGCCTCTCCTCGTAGGGCCTGCCCTGCTGCCCCCTGATCATGCGAGTGGCCCTCCTCTGGACCCTCTCCATGCTGTCCACATCCCTCCTGAATTGCAGTACCTTGCACTTGTCAGTGTTGAAATCCATCCTGTTCTTATCTGCCCACCCCTGTAACCTGTCTAGGTCTGATTGTAGCCTATTCCTCCCTTCTGGTGTGCCCAATTCTCCCCACATCTTAGTGTCATCTGCGAATTTGAACAAGGTGCTTTTTACATCCACATCCAAGTCGCTGAAGATGTTGAACAGTGCGGGCCCAAGCCCTGCAGAACCCCGCTGCCCTCCAGGTCAAGACAGACCCATCCACCACTGCTCTCTGGGTGCGGCCCTCCAGCCAACTAGAGACCCATCTGACTGTAGGTATCAGTGCCACAGTCTCCTAGTTTTTAATGAGAATGGGGTGAGAGACAGTGTCGAAGGCCTTCCTAAAGTCCAGGAAGACTATGTCCACTGCTACATCTGCATCCAAGGATTTTGTGACCTGGTCATAGAAGGCCACCAGGTTGGTCTGACAGGACCTGCCTCTGATGAACCCGTGTTGGTTGCCCCTAAGCATAATCTCTCCTGCTGGCCCCTCACGGGCATGCACTAGGATAATTCTCTCAAAAAGCTTACCCAGGATCGGGGTAAGACTGACTGACCTATAATTTCCTGGGTCCTCCTTCCTCCCCTTTTTTGAAGATGGGAATCATGTTGGCCCTCTTCCAGTCTTCTGGCACCACGCCAGAGCACCATGAGTGCTGGTAAAGCCATGCCGGGGTCCCACAATGACCTCTGCCAATTCCCTCAGCACTCGGGGGTGGAAATCGTCTAGACCAGCTGATTTAAATACGTCCAGTTCCCTGACTAGATCCTCACTGACCCTAGGCCTGGGTATGCCTGCCCTGGGGTCTACGGGGGTCCCAGTGGTGGGGTGGCCTGGTCCCTACTCAAAAAAATGGAGGCAAAGAAATTGTTAAATAGGTTAGCTTTGCTGTCTGGTGCGATGACCAGATTTCCTAGAGTGTCTTGCAGAGGCCCCATGTTACCCGGTACCTTCTTTTGACCCCCTATGTATTTAAAAAAGGACTTCTTAAAAAAATTTGGATAAGTATTAGTCAGGGATCATCTAGGGGTAGCTATGCCTATGCTATAGGATGGGTATTTCCTTTGCTTCTGGGCTTTGCTGGTTGCTAAAGGGCTGGGAGGGAATTATTTATCCTCCTGTCGCTACATTTGTCAAGCTTGTTTTGTTTTTTTCCCTTCCTCCGAAGTTTTGGCTCTGAGCTGCAGGCCAAGGCTGGAGATTTTGACTGGGGTGCTCTGATGCTGCTGCTGGGACTACAGACTGGAGGTTCCTGACTAAAGGGTCTTTCCCGTCTGCTCGGGGTCAGACCAATTGCCATATTTGGGTTCAGGAAGGAATATTTTACTCCAGAGTCATATTGGTACAGACGAGGAGGATGGGAGCCATTGCCTCAGCCCTCTTCCTTGGATTTCTTGAGTATTTTTAACAACCCCTGTAGCAGCAGGATGCTGACTGTCCTTGCCTTCCTATACCTTTTGGCAGCCTAGGATTGTAGTTGTGAGACAAGGTTGATTTGTGTAGTTTTAATAATAAGTTAGACAAGGATGTGTATAGAATGGTTTAGATAAGGATGATCCTGCCTCAGGCAGGGGGTTGGACTAGATTATCTCCGGTGATCCTCGCCAGCCATATTTTGTTAAGATTCTAGGAAGGATCACAATACTTCTAAAAAAAGATGCATCTTCAAGCTTCTAAAAGATGTTTCAATAGTTTTTAAATGTTTTTTGCAATTTATTATTTTCAGACTAATTCTTATTATCTTATTAACTAGGTAATTGAATTCAGTGAACTAGACAAACCCAAAGTCCGTTTCCTGCGGCAAGTGTTAAGTATGCTGTTAATAAAAACAGACTCAGAAGAACTTAGTACCATTTTTGGAAGGTAAGTGATGGCTGGTCTTCCCAGGGAATGCTTAGTGAATAGCTACTGGAAAAATAGAGGGGCTTTGCTTTCTCTGTTACTGTTCTAAACATCTGACTTCTTAGAGAAGCTCTTGGGACAGAGGCATGTCTTCCTATATGCTTGTATAGTGCCTTACCCAAAGTGATTCCAATTTTGATTGGGGTATCACTTGCTATTACAAAATAAAAATGTACGTCCAGCACTTGATACAGATTTTGAAATGGTGCATGATTTCAATGATCAGACTGTCCAACAACAACAAGAAAATTGTTGATGAACACAGCTGATATACCAGCCAGCAGAGTTCAATCATGCCACCAAGTTGTTCTGCTACCTCACTTATGCATTGCAAAATGAGAAATTAAGGGGAAGCTAGTTTATCAACATTGTTGCATATTATTTAAAAATCTCCATTTGTCATGTGAGAGGGGTAAGGGTCTGCAGTAGAACGCCTTTTAGAGGTAATCAAAAGAAATGTCTTAACCCCTCTGAAGTGGGTCTAATGTGTTTTCTCCCTTTTTGTACAAACCATGAATTGTCTAAAAAGCTTGAATAAATGTACTTGCATCCAAGGCATTAGCTTGGTTACAGCATGCTTTTAAGGACCTATTTATATTACAGTATGGAACAGTGTTCAGTGTGGGTCACAGGTAATTGGATTTCATTACAAGTGTGTTTATGGTGCATATAGAACCTTAATTTGTAAGTTATTCTAAAAAAGAACTGGGGGGGGGCCTAAGTGTCATTGAAAATAATGGCACAACACTTATGTAATGGAATCAGCAGTGTGGTGTCTACTTTTTGGAATTAGATTAGTTTAAGATATTGTAATAGTAATTAGTACGTTATTTTTTACATTTTTTTTAGAGCTACTTAAAAACTGGAATGTCTCCACTGCTGTGCATTTACAAACCTATTCCAAATGCTATCTGAAATACACGGGTATATTGCCTATGTTTTTAATTTTGCCATAACTTATACCTTATGTCAAATCCTGTGAAGCACTTTAAATTCCAAACTGCTTTTGAGAACCGATTGCATGTAAGGTGTCTGGCTAGTTGTTAAATCAGTGTAAGCTTCTACTTGTTGACAGGAAAACAAAAAAGTATTTAGCTTTTATTGAGAATTCTTCATTTGGATATTTCCACAAAACCTGCCAGTTGAACAAAAAACACTTCATAATTTTCATCACCTGGAACATAAGAAATTGGAATTATTCCTGATTTTGTTCTCTTTCTCTCTTCAGGTTATCTGACAACCCAAAATTGGGAATGTTGCGTGAAGGTTTGAAGCTCTTCCTTAGTCACTTCTTATTAAAGAACGTTCAAGCACGCACAAGTGCTGAAGAAGCCAGCTTACTAAAAGAAAGAGTTGAATTAGTAAGCAGGACTTTGCAAGCAAAGGAATCCAGATTGAAACTATAGTTTGCTCTTCAACTTTGTATGGAAACTTTGTATGGACTTCATAACAATGTTGTGCTTAACTGCAACAGGCCTTTTTTTTTTTTCCAGAAATCTAAATGCTTGATATTAAGTTGTATTGTTACCCTGCTAAGGACCCCAAACTCTGGATATAACAGAGCTGTATCACCCCCAAACAAGAATTACAGTTTTCTGAGAAGGTCACAAAAGGACATTATAAAAAAAAATAATTGCGTGTCTTACTTCACTCGTCTAGTCATCATTTAAAGTTTTATCTTCTTCCTTCCTCATTCACCTCCAATGAGTATTTCCTAGTACCATTTCACATCTTGGGAGATGGCAAAAATTATTAAATTTTACTTAATACCTCATATCAGTCTCTACATGATGCTATCCAGCAAACCCTAGTTTTGTAATTCTGGAGAGTTCAGTGTTTGATATTCAAACCTGTTACCTTTTATTTTAAATAATTGTATAAAATTGAAAAAAGTAAGTGTTTCTGTGTTATATAATGCTCAGCCTTCTCTGAGGCTTGTTAATTACTTACTGTAATCAGGTGTAAAGCAGATCACTAGATGGCACAGACACAGGTGAGTCAGTTTTGGAACAGTTCTACGTTTTTAAAGAAAATGTGCTTTGTGATTGTATTGACTAATTCAAAGAATTGTTTACCTGCATTGCTGTCAGGGAATGATCTCTCCAACACTTGCATTATAAACCTTGGTGGTTTAGATGGGTTTGAAGAGTTAGTTTGCCCAATTATATTGGGCTTAAATAGCACAGCATAATTTTATGCTAATATTTTAATCTATAACTGCCTAGTGCATTTGGATCTCGTGGTTTCTGAGGCTTGTTTTGCCAACTCCTACCTTAAAATGTTTCCATGTATTAAATTCTACATGTGCTGTAATCAAACTTATTTTCTGTCTTCCAGGAGGAGAATATCCCATTTAGATCCTACTCTTTTTCTTTATCCAGGTACTTGAAGGACTAATATTTTTTGGGTGCATCACCTGATTCCTTGCAGATTAAATGAAGTGTTTCTTAAAATATATGGCATCTTACAAGTGGCAGATTAAACCAGATTTTCATGGCTAATTTTGCCATGTATGATACATTCTAGCAAACAGTATTTAAATAAAATTTAATGTCACCAGGTTGTATGGATGGCTAGTGAACTACTTTGAAATAGGTTCCTACTACAGTAACACACAAATCCTAGCAGGCTGAACCTAGCCCATCATCCTGTAGCCGTAACATGCATCATGACTCTTACTATGGTGAAGTCTGTTGGATTACTAGAATTCAACTAATCGGTTTGGTAGAGACACAGTCCTTGCCCTAAGGAAATCACTGGTTAAACAAGGACATGGTCTTTTTCAAGCTTATCTTAAAACTATCCATCTGCCCTAAGGGCATTAAAGATCCTGCAAATGGCCCATGAGGCCATCATTGCCAGTTTCTGTAGCCAAGAGGGCAGAGTGGACTACCATAGCTAGTCACCTTTGATGTCACAGGTTAAAAGACTAGGTACCTATTTATGAGTAAGCTGACAGGAGGTAGCCTTTGGCATAAGTCAAGAGCAAGGCTCAAGCTGTCACCCTTAAATCAGCAGCAAGATGCCCTAATATATAAAAGCCTTGGTCTGTCTGTCCGTAATGCTTTTATTCGCACTCTGGTTGGTTGTCTGAAACAACCAATCGGAGTGCTCCAAGAGCGTTCAGCACAGGAGGTGGCAGTGGTGCACTGCCATGATGGTGGCAACAGACCAGGGGGCGGGGGGCCAGGCCAGCAATGCTAGCCTCACCCCAACCTAGCCTGAGGCGGTGGCAACGGAGCAAGGAGGGGCCAGGCCAGCACCACGGGCCTCACCCCCTGTGGCCCTGCTCCCTGCAGGCAGCAGCAGCACAGGCTGCTGGCTGAGGGGTGCAGAGGAGACAGCAGGGCAAGCCTCATCCCCCACCCTCTGCTCCTTGGAGATGGTGGTGGGTGGTGATTCTCCATCCCTGCCTAGACCCCCAGTCGTTCATGGGGAGGGGAGGCAGGTGGGCTGGGGGGAGAACAGCACCAGACCTGAAGTGGGGGAAAGCGGGCCTGGCCCCAAAGCAGCAGGAGGGGGGAAGGCTGAGGAATGGGCCCAGACCTGAAGCGGCGGGGGCAGGGAGAGCAGAAGTGGGCCTGGCCCTGAAGCAGTGAGGGAGCAGGGGAAGCCAGGCATGCGCCTCAGTCTGCACCCGTGTGCCCCTGCCCCTGTCCATTCTTGAAGGGCAATTTGCTAGTGCCTTAATATGTCTTCTGCATTTCTTTAAAAACCTTTGTGTCCTGATTTCTGTGAGCAGGCCTACCTCTAAACTGGTTGCCCCCTTCTCAACACCTGGCTGTAAAGTACTCATTTTGCTGGCTTTGTGGTGCTTAATAAAGTATTTTGGGATCCCTGCAACTATTTTTGAGTGTCTGTGATTAGTGTGTGATGCCAAGATGTCAAGCTTTTTCATGCGTTTCCCTGATGAAATATTTCTCTTGAGCTTTTAAACTGGAAAAAAATGTTTCATTGTTTCCAGTGCTTGTTGCCCAAGAGTCCAGCTCATATAGAACAATAAAACTGGTCAGCAGGGGAAAAAAGTTGCCAGGAACTCAGTGCAACTGAACAGCATAATGTACACGGGAGGTGCAATGCCACCTGCAGCAGCCGTTGCTCATAGCAATTGGTTCAATTGGTTCTGTTGTCCTTTATGGAGGGTGAGAGGTAGTGGAAAAGCTGTGTGTGGGAGCGAGAGCTGGGACTTGAAACTGCTTTTTTTTAAATATATGTCTATAAAGGTATAACTGTTACGGCTGTGCAAAGCTTCGGTCGCTGATTCAATTCAGTGGAGATTCGGCCCAATTCGGCGGCCGAATCTCTGAATCCAAATTTAACCAGGAGACCCTTTAATCTCTCCAAATCAAATCGGAACCCTCCAAATCAATTCAGAGAGATTTGATGATTCAGACAGACACAGCTTTAAATGTTTTTTTTCTACATACCTCAAGGTACCAGGCAGCTTGTGAATGCTGAGATGCTGGGGCAGATGGAGCGTCCCACAGGAGCGCGGGGTGGGGGGTCCCCAGCACACTCAGCAGCAGATCTGGAAGTGGACCAGAAGCGCTTCCGGGTCACTGCGGGGCCCCTGCCCCCTAGCTCGGCAACTGGTACTTCCTGGGTCTGGGGGGGCACCCAGGGTTCCCCTGTGGCCAATTGCCAAGCCGAGGGAGAGTGGTGGTTGGGGGGGAGGGGGTCTTCTGGTCCACTTCTGGGTGTGCCACTGAGCACGGTGGGGGCGGGGGGACGACACACAACATGCTCCATCTGACCCACCATCACAGAGTTCACAAGTTGGTACCTCGAGGTATGAAAAAACATTGAAAGCTGTGTCTATGGCCAAATCAGCATTGAATCTTCAGATTTGGATTTGGCCGAATCGAATTGGGACAGTGATCCAAATCAACTAATTGAATCACTGTCCTCAATTCAGGCTGAATCCAAATCTAATGCATCTCATTTCGCGCACCTCTAATAGATATAGATATATCATATTTACTCAAATCCAAGACTAGTCCCCTGCCTTGCTATTCAACCTGGGGAAAATAAAGTCTAGGCCTGAATTTGAGTACCAGCCCAGGATGGGGGAGTTGAAGCCACAGTTGGGGCCAGAGCCTCTGTGTGCTCTTATGTTCTGGGCTAAGTCAGAGCCAAAACTGCTATAAAGCGGAGGCTGGGAGGGGACAATTAGTAGGATGGCAGACAACAGAAGGCAAGTGGCAGGGACAAGTAGGAAAGGAGCAAGGGGAGGTAGGCTGCTTGCCTCTATCCCCATACTACCATTTTCCCTGCAACTTGGCTTCCTGCAGCAGTGTAGCAGCTAAATTTTAAGACAACTTTCCAATAATGGATTACATGGAAGATTATAACAGATTCATAATTTTCCCTGTACAGAATGTAATTGTTTGCAGTCATCTTAAATTCAGCCATCTTGGATTCAAGTATATACGGTAGTATTGCAATAGACAAACACTGAAAAAAGACCTAAAAGAAGCTCAAAACCGTTTTTTTCCCCCCCATCATCTTACCTCAGGCCATTGTCAGTACCTTGTGTATAGAAGGAAGATTAGTAGGGTTCATTTCTGTTCCCTGTTTGTGCAGGTCTTCCATGCAACTGGCGGCAAAAAAAAAAATCTTCAAGCAGGGAAATGTTAGATCCACAAAACTGGCAGGGAAACTTTGGCAGTGGAACTGCTGATGTCTCACTTCAGTGGACAAGATTAAGTTGATTCCACCCCTTGAATATGTATGTATTGTCTGTCAAGTAGTGTGATGCAAACAGTTCCCTCAGAAGCAACTGTGCCAATCCTCAAACCTCAAATTGTAATCGCATAGAGACTGCTGCGGCTGTAAATTGCACAGGACCTAGCAAACTAGAAAAAGCACGCTTTAGGCCATGGCAACTGCCTAACAAATGTTTCTGCTTTCAGGGGACCTCCCAGCACCACTTTAACATGTTTGTGGTTGAATACATAAACTGTAAATGAAATGCACATTGCTCCAGCTGGAGCCTGCCAGAAGGGCAAGGACAACCTTGCTCTTAGAACAAACTTTAAAATGTCCTCCTTAATCAAAATGTGACAGGCTGTCACTTCCTTGTCCAATTGCTTTCTTTTGCAGTCAGGAGTGAATATCCTTTATTGCCAATGGCAATTGTGCCTAGTGCTTTGTGATTCTAAATATGTTAACTTGCCACAGTTGCAGGAGGCAAAGCCTTGCAGGTGCTGTTACTGCCTTAAGGGAGACAGCTTAAAGTTTGCCGTTTAAAAGTACAATCAGTTTTTATTTGTATAATTGAAACTTGCTTTTTATTCACTATTATTCATCCTAAACAATTAGTGTGTCTTGCCCCTTATCATACAGTCATTTATCTCAGCCAGAACCTGGTTTTTTCAGACTACAACTTCAGGATTAGTCTGACATATTCAATTGCTGTGGCCTCCTCTAAAAATCATTTGGGAAGTAAGATTTTGCTGGGGGAAACTGAAATATGTTGCCACTTCACAGTGGTTCATGGTACATTTGATAGATAGCATCTGATGAAGTGTACTTGGGTTCACAAAAGCTTGTGCCATATATATCTTATTTAGTTACTCTATAAGGCTAGGGACAGAAATTACACATAAGCTGGTATAAGTGCTTGGAAACCAGTTCACATCTGTTCAGTGCACATAAACCACTTTCAAAATGGCCAAAACCAGTTAAGATAACTTGGATGGATGTAGTATCAGACTTAACTGATTTAGGTTAAATTGGCTTATTAAAGTTGTGTCCCACATCCCCTCCAGGTTCAATTAGCTCACAGTCCCCCAACATCCCAAGATGCTTTGCACCCCCCCCCACAGGGGGGGCAGGTGGGTGGGCTAGCCTTGGCCCAAGCTGTCTGCTCCAGCCAAGCAGGAAGTCATGCTCTTAATGCCCTGCCAGCTTCTGGCCTGGGCCACTGTCTGCATGTGGCTGCATTTCCAAATCAAAAGTGAATGTCTGGTCACTTGTTTATCAGTTCAATCTACAGAGCTTCGACTAACCTCAGGGTTTTTGACTGTCTGTACTTAACCTAAAGGTATGCAACTTTTATACGTATTCTTTCCCTGCCTTCATGGCACAATTGCCTAATAACAACTGATTAAACCAAATGTTTGTACTGTAAATTGAAGGGAAGAAAAATTGATTTAAAAGGTGCAGGATGTAGGTACCACTTCTTAACCCCTGTGTATTGCATTTGTTTTCACTAGTGTTTTCCATTAACCCAGGAATCAGTTTTCCAGCAAGCCTGCCATGATCTGCTAAAGTGGCTTTGGCAGGCTGCTTCATTTACATATCCAGGCATGCCATCATATTTTTGCCCTTCTGTGTGCTGTCAGAGCTGTGTTTTGGTATTATCCTGGATATATACAGCAGTTTGGCAAAGGAAAATGCAGAATAATAAACTAAGACCATTTTTCTTTTCTGCAGGGAACAACTTATTGTCATCAGCAAAGCTAGTTGTGCCAATGTTCTTCATAGCAGTGTTGTCTGTACTATTAAAACGTAACTGCAGCAAGTGAAAATGCTGGCAAGTGGCTTTTTTCAAAACTGGACACTAAAGAAGGTCTGCTATAGAAGTTATGCAGCTGTCCAACACCTTTGTGCCTCACTATACATCACAGACTAAACCTTTGCTATTTTTTTGTAGTGTTGCAGCTTTCAGAGATGAGGAAAACCCAACAGGTGTTAGTCTCTTGGCCAAGCTGCTTGAGAATGTCCTGCTTTCTAATGCAAAAAATGCCTTTTTTGTGCTCTTTTTAAAGCTCCCCTCTCCCCCCATTTACTGTGTGAATGAAGCAAGAGAAAATACTGTATATTGGAAAACCATGCAGCTACAGTTGTAATTTTAATTCTTACACCTCACAGGCTAATGGAAAATACAGGGTGATTTGCCTTAGATTGATTCTAGTCACAAGTATGATGTTTAATTATTAGATATATTACAGAACATTTCAATCCTTCAAACTAAGTAGTATAATCTACAAAGAGCCATTATCACCATTTCAGCTTTTTTTACCTGGACAATGAGGTTTTAAACCCTTTCTCTGGTTTTTGTATCAAAATTAACAGGGCAATAAAATCTGTTTTTCAGCTTTGGCCAGAGTGTTACACTGATAAATCATATGCAAGTCCTTTTGGCAGGGTTTTACACTGCACCTGAGTAGGCTGAGTTCTTGCGGGGCTTTTCAACTGTGCAGGACAATGGAAATATGCACAACGGGTGATGACTTGATCTTCTGAAAGTACATGTGTGGGCAGCACTACTTGAGGATTGCTCTAGCAAAGGTGTGCAACTCAATACTACACTTAACACACATCTGGGATAGTTTTATTTGCATTGTTCTTCAAGTGAACTTATGAAAGTTAGTCTGGAAGAAAAGCTGCTAAGTTGTGTGACAATGATTTGAGGTTAATATATATAATTGCATGAAACTGTTAAATATTCAGAGTAATACACCTGTGTGTATATATAATCATTGTGACAATGATTTCAGGTTAATATATATCTATGTAGCTGGCTATATGCTTTGTGCATTGGAATCCATACACAGCCTTCTGAGGCTACGGATGACCAGATTACATAGTCTTTTGCCTTAATAAGATAATTTGATCTTTATAAAAACATTTTTTCCATGGGTTGAGTGTAGCTTTGTCCACGTTTTTCTGTACTGGACTGATATCAAGAAGTTGTTGATACAGAAATGACTCTTTTACCATATGTCACTTCTCATGATTTCATCTCCTGAAGGAACTTTCCTTTGCCCTCCAATAAAGCTTAGTTTACCTTAAGGTCTGCAGGCATATGAAGCACAGCTGCCCCTAAGAAACAGCTGTGCAAGTACCAAGCCTGCTGCAAGCTGCATTCTCTTTAAAAGCATGAAAAAAAAATCACAGTGGCCTTCCACTCACACAAATTCATGCACAATTCAGGCTCTGGCATCACTATGCTCATTAATGTATGCAAATGAAACAGGAGCAAGAAACTGATGACTAATCCACTCATGCACTTGAAATACAATTCTAATAAATCTGTCTCAGTACCATCAAACAACTCCAATTCAAATGCCTGAACCAGTTTAAACATGCTGAGACTTTCAATGTAAATAAATGCTCCAATTCTCTGTGAGATCCTAAATTGTGACTAGAATGAAACAATGGGTGACATATCAATATCTTTAAACAATTATTTTAGGATGATTTTACCTGCCAAACCAAATGTCAAAAGTGCTCCTTTTCATATAAGAGATGATGAAATCCCTAATATGCAGTCTAGGGCTGGATCCTATTATCACTACAGTGAAGGAAACTTAGGAAGTTTGGAAAAACGGAGGAGCAGCATTTACAAGTCAAATCTTATTTAACTGGTTTCTATGACAATCAAACGTACTTGCCTCTGTGGGCAGCCTCCCCAGCACAGCCCATCCCAATAAGACTCTGGGCACAAAGCTAGAAACCACCTGGCCTTGCCAGGGGACCCCTTGCCCTTCTGCCAGAGTGCAGGGAAAGAACAGAGGTTTTCAGATGCACATGTGGATCCTTGTTGCTTCCAGGCTGGAAGCCATCAGCAGCTCAACCCATCAGGCCGACAAGCCTAATCTGGAAGCTCTCAAGAAGGGTGGTCTCAAGGTTTCAAAAGTACATGTTTGGTTTTGTGCTAAAGATGTCATACTGGCCCTTGACACCATCAGGAAAAATCCCATGCTGTTTGTCAATGAGAAATATGTTAAAATATGAATAAGGCAAAGTTTTCATTAAGGTTGAAAACATGCTCTGTTTGGTTTTGGTTTTTAACCAGCTCCAGCCACTCATAGACCCCTCACTGATCTTTTACCAATAAAAATAGGTTATGAACGTACAAAAAAACTCCACCTTGGGTCACCATGTTATCTTCACCTGCTGTTCTGCTACATTTTGGTATAGCTGGTTGGGTATGGCTGAGCCGGGAACTATGGGCCAGGTTCTCTGCAGTGTGCATCAGTAACTGGAGTAAATGCGCTGTGTCCACACAACCCACAAGCTTTGTGGCATGCACATGCTGAAACATTGCAGGGATGAGATCAGTAGGAAGCCTTAGCTGCTCTGAAGATACAACAGTGCATTTGTCTAGCAGGCACAGAGCCTGAGACAGTACCATTTTGAGCAAAATCCTTGAAGGCAGCTCTCCTGATTTCTAGTCCCATGCTTCACTTATAAGCATTTCTCCTCGTTTAAGCACCTTAAATGGGTCAACTCAATTTTTGTCTGCAGTTCCAGACCTCTTTAAAACATCTTCTGATTTTCTTTTTCTTGAGACCATATTAAAAGGTTTCTTTAATTTTTTGCCTGCCTGTCTCTTGGAAGGCCTTTCTGTGCTGGTGTCCATTGCTGCATGGGCCACTGCTTGCACACACTGTTCAGACAACAACCATTAAGTATGGGCTCCTAAAGCAACTGTGAATGGCAAGCATTGCCTACCAGGATGAATGCTGTTTGAGTAGAGCTCCACAGAGCTGTTCACCAAAGATTCAGCCAGGTTGAACTACTCCCCTGCTTGGAAGAACTGGCAAGCTCATTGCTGAGGACAAGCATTTTTGAATGCAGCCAGGACTGCTTCACTGACTTTATCTGGAGGTTTAAAGCCTACAAGAGGAACACAGATAAAAAGCCCCAAGGTGAATTCTTGGCCCTGCTAGTATTTGTGGGAGTTTCTTGGCTCTACTGGGGTCTTTGGAAGTTTTGCCATTGAATTCAATGGGGCTGAGAGATTATTCCTACTCAACACAGACAGCACAATTACCCATGTGACTTCCTTCACTCACCTGCACTAGGCTTGTCACTCTGAAGGGATCATGACTGAATGAGGAAAGCCTCCCTTTGTGGGCTAGGTTTTGCCACACACAGTCACATGGGTTACCCTACTCAGACAAATCCATTTCAGTGAGTGAAGCACTCCCCAGGGAGATGTAGGGCAGTAGACTCTAGCCCTCCATACACCATGTTCTTTGGGATAGGAAACATCTTTGTCCCATGTCTGAGGCCATGATCTGTGACTGGAGCTCCTAGACTCTGCAGCCAACAGAATTAGAAAACAATTAGTAATACATAACTGGTCCCAGTGAGCTCATGTGTGGATTTACCATGTGCTTGGAACAGTCTCCTGCACCTCCAAGAGCTCTTGGTTAGATTAGTGGGCCCTGGGTTGACACACAGAATCTCAGCTTCTGCCTATTGCTTACTCCTGCTCATGATTACATATACACAGTTAAAATGCCTATGATGTAGTACCAATTCTTAAACATGGATTCATTTAAATCAGGGCTGTCCAACTGGCAGCTCGCAAGGGGTTAATGTACATCCTCCCCCCCCACACCACCACTTTTCCCCTATCACTCCAGCTAGTGCAACAGCCAGGGTCTAGGCTCCCCAACCCTGTCTCAGCTTTCACTTCCTGCTCCCACCCCAGGAGGCAGAGTGGCACAGCCCACAGTGCCAAGGACAGAAGTGCAGGGATGTGTTGGGGGCAGAGAGCTGTTCACATGCCCAATGCAGAACCGGAGGGCATGGCCTGGGGGCCCATGGCTTGCACTAGTGTGACCCATACATTGTGTAGGCTCCCGGCCACTTAGAAGTTGAACAGCCCTGATTTAAAGTAGAAGAGGAGGTCTCCTATTTCCTGTTTGCTGTGATTATTCACATGCCATGTCCTATATCGGCCTCAGCCCAAGAAGACAAACTCATGCACTTGCACGTTCACATTCTGGCCCCACACTTGAATCAGTTCTTCATCCAAAGAATGAAGGAAAGTTAATTAAGGGGAACCAGACTTTTCTTTCTCTCCCTCCCTCAATTCTTTTTTCTTTCATTGTATAAATCTATAACCATCCAGTTTCACTCGCCCTGAATTTTTTTTATTTTTCCTGGCTAAAGTCAGCCTCTTTATGAATCCTGTCCCTAAGGCTGGGAAAATGGCCTTAACTCTGACATTTCATCCCCATCTTTGGATGTTGACAGAATGACTTCACTGAAGCAGATGCTTTTAAGAAGCAGGCTTCTCATCTTCTGAGGGAGCAAATAAAGAGTATTTCTAAAGACAAGTCCCAGGAAAAGACGCTCACACACCTCCTTGGGCTAGTGTTTCGCTCAGTTTTTCCCTGCCACAAATGACTTGGCTTGAACAATGGACCCATAATGCTAACAGGAGCCTGCTGGTGCATACAGCTACTCTTCCTCTTTTCTGTCTTCCAGAAAGAATCAGCCAGGTCGGGAGTCCTAGTAAAAGCGTGCTTTGAAAACGGAGCTAAATCTTAGGCTTCAGGGTTGGATGCATCATTAGCCATACCAGGGAAGGACATTTAGCACAGAAATCAATTTTAACTAATATTTTCAAAGCAAGAACAAATCTGTATAAATGCTCTTGTCCTCCTTGGTTGGATTATAAGAGGTATTTGGCCCCAGGAACTGGTATGTTCTGAGCCATGGTAAACTAAAGTAAATTAAAACAGGGAGGCTGTCCTGCACCCTCCAACAGAGACTGGGAGCGGTGAAGAAATGCTGATTACCACACCAGGCAGAGGAACTCGGCCTCTGGTTTAAGCAGAGAAGGGGCAGGGTACTCAGATCCACTGCTCCTAATTATAATGCTTGATTCTGGGACACTTACCAAAAAGCAGGTGCTGCCAGAGGTATTCATGGAAGAGAAAAAAGATTTTTTATTGAAAAGGTTCAGAGTTAACATCCCTTATTGTGAGAGGCTGGAGAGGATTCATGTCCTTGGAATACCTGCTGAAATTCTGCTGCCCAACTAAAGACACCTGTACCAAACCCCACAAGCCCAAGAACTGGCACAGGAAGTCAGCAAGGGAAGTTCCCACTTTCCTTATAGGGAATGCTGGGGATTAGGCTCACAAGCCAACAGGCTAAGGAGGGAGGGGCAGACACAGCTAAATAAACATTAACACTGAGGTACATACACATAGGATCTGGGTAACAGGAAGTATACAGTGACACTTTGATGAAATCACCCAAGAACGGGTAACTGGTAGGAAACACTAACACCGTGATATATACACTTGAGAACCTTAAAGCCTCCCACAACTCCAGGGGGCTCCAAACCAGCCTCTGGTGCCATAAAACACTTAATTGCCATCTGCCAGGGCTCCATATCTGCTGCAGCTTGCAGTCCTAGCTCCTAGCTCTGCCACTCCTTCCAACTCTCTGGCCACACCTCTCCCTCTCTCTCATGCCAACCCATGCTCCCATGCTGCTCCTTCTGCTCCCTGGGAGTTGTAGTGCTTCTTGCACTTCATTCCTCCAGTCCCCTGGAGGCTTCTAGGCAATGCAGTTCATATTACAACATTACAGCACATGATGTTCAACATTACAGTGCATTACACATCATTGGGTTGAGTCAATAGTGAACCTCTCCCACCCTGCCTGCTGATTCTACCTTTGGCAGGAAGGACCTCATACACACCATTGCAAAGAGAAAGGTATTAAATTGTTTAAACCAGCCAGACTACACCAAATTTCAGCGCTGTCCAAAGCAGTGTTTTTGCCTGGATGCCTCCTGACCTACAAAGTTTTCATCCACCCTTTCAAAAGATGCATGCGGCATGCCAATGCTACATCATCAGTACATGTATGAGACCATCCATAATGTTCTGCACAGGTTGAGAGAGACTAAGGCTTGTAGGTTAAAGTAGATGGAACGGGATAGGGACCAGCAAGGAAGGGGATCATGGAGGAAAGCTGTTGAACTAGGAGATGACATTCTTATCTCCAAGTTTTATACAACTCTCACTGAAGTTAATGGATATCTTCTCCTTGGTTTCAATGGACTTTTGATTAGGCCCAGAGTGACTTATATCCCATTACAGCCTAAATACAGTAGACGGCTGATTTGATCTAATCTCATCTAACAGGCTCTCACCCTCACAATCACACCACAAAAAGCAGTCTAGTGTCCCCATGTGAAGGCCCAGCATCTGGAACTACCTCCACTTGACATCCTTCCAGCCCCCAGCTCCCATAGGAGCCCCAGAGCAAGTCCTTTGGAGAGATGCTCTCATATGGTTTAAACTATTCAATTCCTGTTTTTATTATTCCTGGCAAAAGGACAGTGATTAACGTCAATGATTGTGGACAATCTAATGTAATTACTCATTAACATTTATAAAATAGAACCTAGCTGCTACAGCAAGACGTGCTTTATGGATTCACAGAGTTTAAGGCCAGAGAAAGCCATTAGATCATCTAGTCTGACCTCCTGTATATCACAGACCATTACATTTCAAAAGCTCACCACTGCAGAGAACTTGTATTTGGCTGGAGCTTTCCAGTCTCAAGTGGAGAATGTCAAGAGAAGCCCTGGCAGCTTGCTCCCATGGTTAGTCATCCGTTAGAAATATGGGTCCGTTCTTCCTCCTGGCTGTCCAAAGGTCCGTTCTATCCAGCAAACCAACCCAGCTCGAACTGGGCAAATGTCCCCCTTCCATGGGGACAACCACAGTCCAGCTCCAGTTGTATTTTGAAGGTGTAAGTGGGAATTGCTACCGTCCTTTCTTTTTGAACGGAGACAATTACACCTGCAGCAAACTGACTAGCCAGACAATAAATTAGTGGCACACACAAATTACTTAAAACTACAGATAAATTAGCCTAAGAGATAAAATTAATGGAAATTCTGATCACTTGCAACTATCAAGTCTGCCAACAATGTGATTTGTTCAGCTCTGCTCCAGTGACACCACCAGTGCTCTTTTTGTCTGCAGGCTTCAGAGTCCAGTCCAAATTCCAGAGGTGACAGGAATCTTCACGTTGACTTCGGTGGGCTTTGAATCAGGTTGATAATATATCTGCCCTTCTGAAACAAAATATTCACAGAGCTTGGGCACACAGGGGACCAGTAGACTATATACTTGACTTTCTCTAGATTACAGGCCGTTTCATTTCATCAACATATCCCTGTGTCAAGCCCAAAATAGTTAAAGCATCTTAGTGCTGAGGGGACTTCAGTATTGGGTGCAACTGGTAGAGAATGAGATACAAACATATCACATCTGATCAATTCCTTTCCATTACAGAGGCCTTTGGAGTCATAATATATCCCAAAGCTCTTTGTATGAGATCTGCGCCCTAGGTTGCAAAGAAAGACAAATTCTCACCAATCAATTCCTTCTCAACTCCAAGCCTAGGCATCTGAGCTTCACACAACTAAATGAAAAAGAATAAAAATAAACAAATGAGAGGAATTGCCATACCTAGTCCATGACAGCCACTGAATAATGACCACGTGGTAATTTCCATTTGCTCTCAGCTGGCTGGAACTGAACTGGAGCAGAGGGGAAAGGATTAGTTTTCCATTATCAATCACCTGAGCAGTCAAGCCATCCCATGAAATGAAAACCTCATCCTGTGCATTAGCCCTCGCAATCAAGCTGTGGTGCAAACAGCTACTGTGTGCAGCAACAATTAATGCATCACCAGCAACTGAAAATGGATGCCTCTGTTTTTATGTTTTGTGAATGTTAAACATGTAGGACCAGATCCACAGAAGGATTCAGGGCTACACAGAGGACTTGTCTATACCACTGAAACAGCAGGTCCCAACCCTCAGGGTCTGACCACCCACTTATGCCTGCGGGCACTTTCCAAACCTGGACCTTAATTTTAGACTGAAGTGCCTGCAGTGGTAGTGAGACAGCATTTAGGCAACTGAATCCATTTGTGAATCCAGCCCTTATTTTAACTTCACATCTCCAGCAGTCACTGAAAAAAAGGACACTGCAAGAACTGTCCTCACATAGTAGGAGTGTTGCAGAGTCTCATGAACTGGTTGGGAAAGACCTATTAAGTCACTTAGCCTAGTGCTCTCAGCCTCTGCAGAAACTCCTCTATCTGCCTGCACCTAGCAGACTCATTTGACAGCACAGAAAAAGCAGTGGTCAGGATTGTCCCTTTGGATCTTGATTTAATCCAGGTCTCCTCCACCTGGTGCAGCACCAGAATCAAAGAAAGCTACTCCCTTCTGAAGGCAAGGAAGAGCCTGGCTAGATTATGATCCTGTAGGGCATGAATGGAGGAAGGAGAAAGAGAAGAATAAAAGATTCAGCATAGGAGAATCTGAGAAGAGAGTCACAGATGACATCAAGATGGGCTGGATGTGTAGCAAGAAGAAGAAAAAAGAGCGTTTCAGCCCCAGAAACAATCAACATTCCTGGTGCTGAGGAAGTAGCTGTGCACAGGGGTTTCACAGCAGGGGGGGCTGGATTAAATATTGCTGGTTTCCCACTTGACACAGCTTCAGCAGGTTTACCTGGAACATGTGGCTCTTATTGCAGCTCTTCTGCGATAGCACTTCATTCTTCCGAGTCGGCGGCTAATGACATCCATGCCTGAGCCCGGGAGCGCGGCCGGGAGGGGGAGCGCCGCGTGCCCCGCAGGGCCCTGGAGGGGCAGGAGGAGGGGGAGGGGGTCCAGGCCCGCAGTTAGGAGCGGGGGAGGATCAGGGCGTGCGGGGCTCTGCACTGGCGCGGCCTGGCTGCCTTAGCCCAGGCGGCCGCACAGCAGGGACCAGCCACGGCGGGAAGATGCGTGC